ATAAAACAGCTATACAGTTTAACATTGATTAATTCTAATTTAAATTATTTGTATTTTCTTTATAGTTCTAGTAAGATAATTGGAATATTTAAGTAGGTACTTCTTTAAGACACGGTTTTTTCATGATTCAAATCATGAAGGATCGTGATTTTATTAGTCATTCTCCGTCAAAACTTCGTAAATAATGAAAATAAACAAAATTGAAAGTTTTAAAAAATTAGTTTTAAATTTTTATTATTTACACAAACAGTAAACATCTTACCTGTTTTGCCGGTTTTCGTAAAGTAAATCCCGTAGAAACTATATTTAAAAGCCACACGAAATTCTCAAACACACCAACAAATATTCGATTTGTAATAAATTACAAAATTCTCTGAGAAAAAGCAATATGAAGTATAAATTATGTAATAATTATAAAAACTTCATATTCTTTACATAACTTTTCACGGGAAAATCCTTTTAAAATATACATAAGAAACTTCGAACTATCACGCATGCGCCCCACAACCGTACCAGTCTTAAGCATTTATTCGACTGTCGCGTAAGAAACTTTTCGGCCAATCGCCGCATTGCATTCTCTTAAGTCGAGAGTTGATACGCGGCTAAATTAAACCGGCCGCCTAACTTAACAAAACAAAGAATCAATGGAATGCATTCCCGTTTTATCGTATAATAGCTAAAGTTTAAATGTCCAAACGATTATCAATTATAGCACATTGTAATATGAACGACTTTGGATTGATAAGATAGAAACCAGAAATTGCGAAACAATTTAAGTTCACACTAAGCACCACTCAGCGTGGTTAAGTTTTGCAACTTGTACGACGAATTGATCTGTTGAATGGAACAAAATTAAACCGTATACTCTTTATTTTTACGGTATAAGTCGTTCAAAGGGGAACAACACCTGATCACTCAAAGAAATGCTATGACCTCGGTCGGCATGTCGACCAATTACGAAAAGCTTTTGAGAAAAACGATTCCATTTAAAAACCACGTCTGGTGTAGGATGTAAGAAGTGTGCAACAATGAAAAAGTTTCGCGCGGTGTCATCGTATAAGTTTGATGACGATTTAACAAATTATTGCGTGCCACCCACGCTATTGATTCGGGTCAAACATCTTTTACTATAGTGATCTTAAGGACGCTTTTGATAAATACGATACATACATTTAGCTTAAAGAGATTTAGGCTCATTAGGTGACCTTAACTATTTCCTTTCTCTGTAAAAAAAAACTCCGTTAACCTCTTCCCGACGAACAGACAAGCGCTTTAAGTCTATTTTAATAGAGCGAACTTTCCTGGTTTTAGTGGTCTACAGCACGGTATAACATACGTTACGTACGTATCGGAATGTGGAATAGCATGTTCAGGAATAAGTCGGGAAGTGAAAGATGGAACCTTACTCTCCAAGATCTTTCGAACGATGACAAATTATTCTCTGACCTTCACCGTACGGTCGATTATTACCCTAAGTACAAGAAAAAATATCTTTTATACGTAGGTGAGTACAACTTAAATTGCATAGTAAGAAAGAATTTGTAATACCACGGCCCACGCCACCAAGTGACGTGTTACTAAAAAAATTTACTTCGAGTTTTTCGATAGTTCACATTCGCACCAAGAGACGGCGTTGTACTACACCGTAAATTAATTCCTCTATTCCACTTTTTGTACTTTAAGATTAAAAAAAGTGGGAGTTGAAAAAGAAAAACCGAAAAATAGGTACAAAAGAAAGTTTATATACCGCAGTAACTTATATGATTTGAAAATATTTGGCCTTTGATAGCCTGCAAGGAGTGATTTTCCCTGTTTTAGGGACTAATACCGATCTAGAAAATAATATTTAATAATTAACAGACCTTATAACTTTTATAGTTTATCTTGAATGGTTAACTCAGCAGGAAGGAATTATTTAGAGGTACGCAAATATCTTCACTGTTGCACAAATGGGCAGGTCCGTCCGGGTAAGCACCACGACCTCACAGAAAACCGGCGTGAAATGGAAGTGTAACATTTCTGCGTTTCGTGGCGCTATTACACAGGGAGATTTTTTGAGAAGTGCCCAAATTTACACAGGAGGTTCAGACTCGGTACTATAATCGGTTATTGAAATAAGAAACAAAGAGAAAATATTTTTTTCCAAAAAAATGCCATTCTATTCCCTAAAAAACAGAACGTGTTGACAATGCGGTAGTCATTCATAAATACCTAAATTTTACTGTTTCACGAACTTGTGTGCGTGATAGTTATGAATGATCGCGCGTAAAATAAATCAGTTGCGTATAAATCACGTATTTTTTGAGATAAGTTCAAATGAATGTAATTAATTACTTACGAGTGATTTTAAATTATTATCATTTTTATATAACATTATTTATGTCTAGAATTTAATAAAAAAATGGATTCACTTAGAAAAGCCACTCTATATGCAACCCAATGAGCGTTGCAAATGTCCATGGGCGGCGGTTATTACTTAACATCAGGTGAATTTCCAGCTATCTTGCCACCTTCTCACATAAAAAAGATGAACTTTGTAAAATTGTTTTGTTATGGCCGCGATACAAATAAAACGAAAGAACACATCTATATCACACTTTATTATCATACAAAATTTTCCATCCGATATAAATAACTCTCCATCGTAAGTCTCTGACTGAGATTTAAAATCTAACTTAATCGCTATGACTGAATACAATGCACTTAAATTAAGACAATAAATACGCAAAAACAGGGTAAACTAGTAATTTGTTTGTAAATACATCTATACTCACACCTAAATATAGGCACTATGAGAACCATATAAATACTTTACGACGAATTGTTTCTAAAGATTTTATATAAAATAAAACGCACACTATCACTGAAAAGTTAAAAGGGAACAAAACTATGAAACTGCTTCTGTCATTATAGATTGATAATTTTCTTTCTAATGTATAGTATAACTATGTCAGATCCGAATAACTGTAGGGTATCGTCATTTTGTACTTCACAATATAAAATATACCTTTACAAAGACTTCTGTGGGACTTTACCCAAAATTTCAAATTTCCAAAAACCAAGAGTAGTCACCGAGAAGATAAATGCAAATTTTTTGCATGTTCCAAAACGTGAACATAATTACGGGAATGTCTTCCACTTAAATTTCCAGCTAAAAACCTAACGCCAAAAAGATCTATTGAGAAACACTTAATATTGAGAAAAACAAACCGATTTCGCTAAAGATGCTGTACATATTCATTAAAAGAATGACGCACCTTTAGAGTTATAGTCACCTTGAAAATAAGATTTTATATGAACAAACGCCGAGATTTGAAGGGAGTGATAGAGACCGAAGCATACGTTATGTAAGCTTCCTAAAACGGGCCCTTGTTTTAATAAGAGTGGAAAAGGTAGTGGAAAAAGTAGTTCTCTGAATCATGATTCAAAATCATGATTTTCTTGATTAGGTTCCTTTATATCTAAAGGTGCGAAGTAATGAAACGGATCGGGAATGTTCTAGAACTTCTTTCTGCTACCCTTATCCCACTTAAGTGGGGTCTTCACAACAAGTGTATCAAGTTGGTGTAGTCTAGTTTTTATACAAGCGGCCGCCTGCCTGAAGTAAACTCTCCTTGGGAACAAACACTCAGATCCGGAATTACATGTGGGTCGCACAAAAACTTGTCCCGTGCGGGAATAGAACCCAGGGACCCGACAGTGCCAATGGCTTAGAGACTGAGCCACCGAGTCGAGGGAATGTTCTGGAACTACAACTATTCAATACTCAACCGTACAAGCTCTTGGAAAAGGCTTTCTATTTAAAAACAGACATCCTTACCTAATTAGATTCGGTATTACGTACTCAATACTGATTAACCAACTACAGAAATGAATATACAATTTAATCACATCGATAAAAGAAACACCCTGTGTATATACACACACACATGACGCATCCAAAACCACAACATTTTCCATTCGATATCATCCCCAGTTGCCGAGACTAGATCAAACAACAGAAATACTCATGGTACGCTAGCCATTAGAGGCGGCAAAGTCATAACAGACCTTAAGTGACGCGCCAAAACAAGATGCGCCCGAGCATACGTGAACACTCGTGTTTTTGTATGCTAGAACAAAAGTCGAACCCGCACATGAATCATCTGAACGTGCGTTAATACATGCGTCTATGCATTCAACCTTCTAAGATACAAAGGTGCATACAGCCAATTAATCTCAACAAATTGTTTCACAGCATGCGAAAAACAGAAGTGCATGCGTCACCGTCACATCACTTAAGTAAGATCGCGAAGACGTTAACATGTCACCATACATCATTATGCATATATCCAAACATGCGAGAACGGCTTGGCGCATCGCATACACAAACACAAGTTCATGCATGCCGAGTATACTTACACACAACACCTTGCACACGATTAATGCGCTACCATTAACTTACCTCCAAAAATGCGTAAAAACAATATATTTTGTACCAATTTTTTTGTTTCTCTGTCATAATTATAACTTTCTTAATCTATGAGATCTCCAAAATAGCCAAATAGCCTCATAAAAAGCTCTCCCGTGCCAAGCAAGTCCCACCGACTCGTTAATAATTTAGCCTTATTCCTTTCGTATACCTCACCCATGGTTTATTCCAAAACAGTTAATTTTAACACTATAACATTGACTGCATTAAATTCGTGCGCCCTTCGGATAACATTCGAAACCGTTCCACCTCCGCGTTATGAAATGTGAAGGAACCAGCATACGAACTCACGAACTCTTTCATATGCATGCCATAAGTTCGTGAGATAGCATGCTTGCGTTTTACCTTTCGGATAACATTCGAAAACCATTCGACCTCCGCGGTATGAAATGTGAACGAACCGGCATACGAACTCATGAACTCTTTTGTATGCATGCAAAAATAGCATGCTTGCGTTTCCCAGTTCCCAGCCGCTAGGCGTTTACTGTATGCTACGCGACGATATCAATCGGTCTGCACTGGTGCGTCATCGCGGAACACTCCAACCGTTGTACACTTGGGGCCAATCGACACCCTTGAAATAGGGGTGCTGTTTTATCTCCTCAACCCCATCTCTACCGGCGCCAAGGCGTTGTGACGGCTCGTAGGTAAGCAGCTGCGAAGGGAAATTGTAGCATGTAATGTAGAAACTCTTTCATTTTTTGATCCCCATTTCTTAAAGTTTGGCAGTGTAGCGGGTGACAAATTACTCCGACGGGTGTTTGGAAGGATGCTCACGGGTGTTTGGATGTGAAGGATGCTCACGGGTGTTTGGATGTGAAGGATGCTCACGGGTGTTTGGATGTGAAGGATGCTCACGGGTGTTTGGATGTGAAGGATACTCACGGGTGTCGGGATGTGAAGGATGCTCACGGGTGTTTGGATGTGAAGGATGCTCACGGGTGTTTGGATGTGAAGGATGGATGATCACGGGTGTTTGGATGTGAACGATGCTCACGGGTGTTGGAATGTGAAGGATGCTCACGGGTGTCGGGATGTGAAGGATGCTCACGGGTGTCGGGATGTGAAGGATGCTCACGGGTGTCGGGATGTGAAGGATGCTCACGGGTGTTTGGATGTGAAGGATACTCACGGGTGTCGGGATGTGAAGGATGCTCACGGGTGTTTGGATGTGAAGGATGCTCACGGGTGTTTGGATGTGAAGGATGGATGATCACGGGTGTTTGGATGTTGACGATGCTCACGGGGTGTGGAATGGATGCTCACGGGTGTTTGGATGTGAAGGATGCTCACGGGTGTCGGGATGTGAAGGATGCTCACGGGGTGTTGGATGTGAAGGATGCTCACGGGTGTCGGGATGTGAAGGATGCTCACGGGTGTTTGGATGTGAAGGATGCTCACGGGTGTTTGGATGTGAAGGATACTCACGGGAGTCGGGATGTGAAGGATGCTCACGGGTGTTGGAATGTGAAGGATGCTCACGGGTGTTTGGATGTGAAGGATGCTCACGGGTGTCGGGATGTGAAGGATGCTCACGGGTGTTTGGATGTGAAGGATGCTCACGGGTTTTGGATGTGAAGGATGTTCAAAGTAACTTTATATTTAAATTTAATATTAAAATGGTTTTTCGTGTTTACCTTTATCGATATAGATTTTATTGATTTTTTCTTGTAATAAGTCACGAAAAAGAACAATGAAAAGGGGAGTTATTCCAAACGTAGCCAGTAAATAAATTTTGGGTCAGACGTCTGTCTGTCCGTCTCCCAAGTTGTGACTGTTATTGAAATTACCTGCGTGAGTAGAGATTGTACTTCTAGCGGTAGACCGTCGGGAAGTTGAAGAAGGGTGTGGCTGTTGAATATACTCCGATGCCACGCAGACAGCGGCTGCGGACGGAAAGTGATTTAGTGCGGGATCAAACTCCTTTGACGAGGTCAAAAACCCTTTGCGAGGTCCATAGCGAGTGGGGGGAACCCATAAGGAGGCTTAGCTTTTTTATTTATTTATTTTCTTTTATGTGAGAAAGTGGAAAACGAGCTGGCGGTTCAACTGACGTTAAGTGATAACCGCCGCCCATGGACATTTGCAACACCCGTAGGGTTGCAAATGCGTTACCACCTGTAAATAAAGTGGGGCCCGGCTACCTCACTCACCAGACGAAACCAGTGCTCGGTATACCCAAGCAACCAGAGTTATTGGAACTCTGATTGGTATCGGTAGCAATGAAACTCTTAATTACAGTTTCACGCATAGATGTTGCCTCGTGTGCTGTTCTGTGAAGGAAACCTTTATGAGGAAACCAGTATAAATACTAAGAAAATATTTTTAAATTTCACAAAGATACTTGATTTCCGTGATAATGTCCGGGCCATTGTTTTTGATTCTGTATATTCGAGCAATTCGAGGCACCAATAAAATTGTTGATGGGAATTTTAAGTGTTGACTTATCACGTGCTCAGCGGTGAAGGAAAACATCGTGAAAACCGGCATATTTTCGATACAATAGTATTTGAAGTCTGCCAGGCCGCACTGGGGATTGGCAATGTCCAGCTTTTGCCCAGCAGTGGGACACATATAGATATCCGCCAAACCACATTGGAGCCTCCGTACTCCAACCCTGTAAGAGGTATAGTATCCCAAGCACCAACTTTCATAGTCGATTCCTTTACTTTTTCATCGCAACGACACTTGCAATATATAGGTAGTTGTTCCTCCTCTCTAATTATTTTTTTGGTTTTGTTCTTCACAGCAGCATTATTTATTTGTATTTAACTGTGTTTCCTGGGTGTTCTGTGATGACTTGCGGGTAAAGACCTCCTCAGTCTCTTTTCATTTTCTCTTTTCGGTAGCAATTGTCAACCAATACCTTCCCTGCTATCTCTATGAAGTTATCTGACCGTCTACAATAATAGAAAAGTCTAAACTTAGTCCTTGAAGAAGAGAGTCTACTCCCACCTTAAAGGCCGGCAACGCAATTGTGACTCAACCGATGTTGCAGATGACATGAGGCGGCGGTCGCCCACCACCGCTTAACTGTGGTAGGGCCACGCAGCCTCTGCTGTTGCAAGAATTGGCGGGTAAATACCACGACCTCACAGAACACCGGCGTGAAGTGGAAGTGTAACACTTCAGCGTTTCATCTGGTGAGCGAGGTGGCCGCACCCCAATTTTCAAAACGTTCCCAACGCATCTGCAACCCTAGGATGTAGCAGATGTCCATAGGCGGGGGTATTCACTTAACATCAGGTGAACCGCCTGCGCGCTTTGTACCTTTCACATTAAAAAAAAGCCATAGGGTGACGCTTGCCGCCTTTTACCATAAAAAATCCAAGATAGAAGAGCGCAAGCCACTCACCACACCGCAGAGCAGCTCGTACAGAATTGCGCCGTAGCTCCAGTAGTCGCAGACCCTCTCGAGGGCCTCGTCCCTGTCGGGGTCCAAGTAAGGGTCCCGGTACAGTTCGGGCGCCACGTACATGTCCACATGCGCGGGCCCTTTGTGGCCGGCCTTCGCTAGGGCCATCTCGAGGCCGGGGTAGAACACGAAGTAGGTCAGGATTATCTGGCCCTTCTCGCCGAGGAGGATGTTCTTCGGGCTGAGGTCCCTGGGCGATGGAGACGTTAACGCAGGCTGAGTTTAATGCTATAAGGGGTCGTCCATTAATAATGTGAGGTACGAAATGAGGGAGAGGAATACCACGAAATATTACAGGAGGGGGGGGGGGGGGTTGTAGTGAGGTATCAAGTATATTTATTTTAAAATTTATAATTATACAGGTACAAAAAACAGGTAATACAACGGTAGTAATTTTCGCGTTTCGTCAGGAGTGAGGTGGCCGGAGCCCAATATTCAAATGGTTGTCAACGCATCTGGAACCCATCGGGTGTTCCATGTCCACGGGCGGCGATATTCACTCAACATCAGGTGAACCGTCTGCTCGCTTGGCAACTTTTCATTTTAAATAAAACACCGGTGCAGGGGAGGGGTGAATAGTGTTAAAACTCACCAAGTATCACTAGGCAAATATGGTAAAAAACGACGATGAACGACATCTTATGAAATATACAGTATATTTCAAATTGTCAGGAACGATGTTCCTACTCAACCTAGTGCCGTTTTTAAATGAAACAGAGTCGGTGAAAGTCGAGTTTATAACAGTTTTTCGTTACTCGACCATTTCTACCAACTTAAACTAGCGGTAAGAAACAACGTTACAATAAAAACAATTGAATCAAAGCCACTCTAAAGTTTGCGATTGAAACGTATCAAGAAAACCAACTAATATCGGTACATCCTCTAAGGGTCACATTGTACGGATAATTTATGATTAAATTTAAAAACTATCATTTATATATTTATTTATGCTTGTACCCTAATAGATTAGTGACCTTCTTGGTGCATTGATTTCTACATTTTTTTTAATGTGAGAAAGTGTCAGACGAGCTGGCGAATCGCATAATTTTAAGTGATAACCGCCGCCCATGGACATTTGCAACACGTGCAATTGCGTTGCCGCCTTTTAATAAAGTGGGCCCCGGCTACCTCACTCACCAGAAGAAACGCTGAAGTATAACACTTCTACTTTACGCCGGTCTTCTGTGAGGTCATGGTGTTAACCCGGACGGACCTGCACATTAGTGCAACAGCGAACACTGTTGCGATGTCCTACCACAGTTAAAGTTGTTTGATGTGTACCAAATAAATATTTCTTTCTTTCTTTCTTACCTGCATATTACACCGCAGTTGTGCAAACCGTCTATTGCGGCGAGCAGTTGGGCCGCCCAGCTGCGTGCCGCGCTGCCGGGAAGCGCCTGCGTGTAGAAATTTGTCCTTTCGGTCTAGTTAATGCACCATCGACATTTCAAATGCAATCAAAATAATAGGCGAAGAATAGATCAAATAAATTTGCCATTGTTGGAATGAAGAAGAAGAAGAAAGTTTATGATGAATGGGCAAGCTCGTCCGGAGAGGTACAAAGTCTTGAGACTGGCGCGAAGTGAAAGTATTATACGTGCATCACGTTTCGTCTGGTGAGTGAGGTAACTGGGAGCATACTTCTAAAGGTTGTCAACGCATCTGCAAGCCCTCAGGTTTTGCAGATGCTCATGAACGGCGGTATCCACTTAACACCCGCTGAACCAGCCAGTACTTGACAACTTTTACATTTTAAAAATATCTCAAATTTTATATATTGTGAAGAAGAGAAAAATAAAACTTACCCTATTTATAAGCGGAGTATTGATACTTCTCCCCACATCTCTTCTCAGATTCTCCCCTTCCACTGCTTTGCTGTTCACTTCTTCCTTAACCGCCCCGATGTTTGGTATCTCTGTTAGCGCTTTGTCTACGTTCTTTAGCAACTGCTGCGAGTTGACTACCAGCTCTTTGGTGGATATTTCGGCGTTGTCCAATCTCTCAACTACTGCACAGTCATCGATGTTCTCGTTAAGATCTTGAGTGCTGTTATCGATCTTCGACATCGAATCGACTTCATCGATGTTGTCGTTGACGAAATCGACAGTGTTTCGTTTCGACGGTTCGGTGAAGACGTTTTCAAGATTCACCTCCCTGTTCGGTGTGCCCGGTAGCGATTTCGCGTAGTCCTTTATGTAGTCGAATAGCTTTTTACCCGGCGCGTAGGACAGTATTAGGAATATTAGACTGTTTGTCTCTATGTACGCGTGCAGTGGGACCATGTAAGGTATTAGGGTAGGCAGAATAGGTTCTCGGGTTTCGTTCGTTCTCTGCATGAAGTATTCGTCGAACTCCGTGAGGTTGTGGGGGATTTTGCGTATCACCTGCGAGAGGAACTTTAAGTAAGCGGCAAGAAGGTCGATTTCGTACGGGCATTACTCTTTCACAGCTTGTTGTAAATTGTATTTAAAAAGCAAGCTGTTTTTTATTATTCCTGTTCTCGCTTTTAGTTTTCGAGTCTATTTACTGTGGTAGTGCTGCGAAACACCAGCTGATGTGGACAGGCTCGTCTGGGGAAGTAACATAGCCTCACACAGGTGTAGCGCCAAGTGGAAGTATGATACCTTCGGGTTTCGTCTGGTGAGTGAGATGGACAAGCCCTCAGGTGTTGAAGATGTCCATGAGTGGCGGTAATCACTTAACACCAGGTGAGACTTGTTTGACGACTTTTCACATTAAAAAATAATAAGCGTTAGCCCAACAGCGTTATACAGTCCAATGCACATTCCCCTGAATTTTTAAGGCAAACCTGACAAGCAACAAGGCTGTCACCGATAGCGGCACATAAAACTCAAACCCGATATTGTCAAAAGTGTTTTCACTGATAAAAACGGCAAAGCAACAAACAGCCGTGAGCCGTGATAGCTCAGTGTCCGTTCGCTCGCCATTAATTCTATAATTACACTAATAAACAATTATTAACTTTGAGCCGAATTATGATTAAAATAAAATATTTCATGATGACTAATACGTTGGCAGTTGGAATTGTAACACTTGAATTTAACAAAACGAAATCAGGATTCGACATATATTGACTTTGACTTTGAAAACACTCGCACCTGACCAATCGAAATCGATTTTCGACGCATAATGACGTTTACTTTGAAAACAGTTGCACTTGACTCTATCCATCGAAATCGGTCAAGTCACTTTGACTTTGGAACACTTACATGTGACAAATAGAAATCTTTGACTTTGAAAAAAACTTGAGTTGGACTAATCGAAGTGGAAATCCCTAGAGGAGGCCTATGTTCAGCAGTGGACGCCTACAGGCTGAAATGATGATGATGATGATGAATCGAAGTCGACATTCGATACATTTTGACTTTAACTTTGAAAACACCTAAATTTGACAAATTTTAAAAAAAATTGGCTTTGAAAACATTTGCACTTGACAAATCGATATAGGTATTCGACAGATATTGTCTTTGAACACTTAACCTAATCTAATCAAATCAAAGATTTCGAAAACATTAGAATTGGACAAAACGAAGTCTGCATTCGATACATATTGAAGATACTTTGTCTTTGCATCTGAATCGTAAACTTGCCTTCATAGCGTAGCAGGTCTGTTCGGTGCGGTGCAACACCAGCATCACGCTGGGTCCGAGGACGTCCAAAACTCGATACGAAGCCAGGTCTTCGTACGGCCTGCGCAGCATAGAGATCGGGGGTGGGCAGAGAGCCAGTGACTCCGCCTCCTCGGGCTCCAATAGTAGCTGCTGTGGACGTGAAGTGAAAGGTCTAAAGGTAGGTCGCGGGTCATGGGTTCGATTCCCACACGAAAAGTGCTGTGATAGCGGTTGGCGCAGCGTCGGGTTCGATTCCGACATGAAAGAAGGATTTGGGTGGCTCGTTCATGTGATTTTTTTGTACGTAATACCGTCCTTTGGCAAATGATAATGTTATCATAATTAATTTTTTTACAGCACTTAACATTAATACTTGTAGACAAACTGGCCGAAGAACTCTTCGCCAATTAGGGAATTGAACTCACGCCAACCCGGACGCTTCAACCACTAAGCTAAACGGCTGTTTGCCTCAACCTGTTATAATCTCAACGTGTTTTATCGCATTTTAAGCAATGCTTGGCGCATCTATTGTTAGGTCCTCTACAGCAGACAAACAAAACCCCTTTTAAACATATATTTTCTCTTCTATTCGACTAGTATACACTGTCTTGAACCAAGATATCGTACAAAAATTAACTTTGAAGTGTATAAGTAATATATACAAATTGTAAGTAATTTTCATAAATAAAGCGCGTATTTCAGAAATCGCTATCATATGAAAGTTTTTGAAAGGGAACTTATGTTTACTTATACTCTATGAAAACGGTTACATTATTCTGAGCAGAATAGCTGAAATCCACTCACGTTATCATCGGAGTCGCTGAGGTGGTTCTTGTATATCGTCTCGGCGTAAGAAAGGTACTTGTTTATCTTCCGCTTAATTATCGCTCGCCTCTGTGGATCCGTGTCGGCTGAAATGGACAAATGCCATCTTTAAAATCTGCCGTATCTCGACTTTCGCCGAGTCATCCGTTTCATCGTCTTGTGCTTGCTACACAGACCGTCACTTATTTTTTTTTTTTTGTTTTGTTGTTATGTTTACTTTTATTTTTAAGTTTATCCAATATCATTTTATATGCTGTGAAGTTATATTATTTCTTAAGTTTTGTATGTCCATTGTGCTTAGAGTGTGAATAAACGTTTTTTTTTCTTTCTTTCAAAAAGACGTAAAGTTAACCGCCCGTTGCAAAGATTTGAACCTAGGTCCTTCGAGATGCGCGCCGAATTTAAAAAACCTTTCGGACGTTTTTCGACGATTTTCTTTTATTACATCTAAGTGCAGAGAACAGCAACACTAAAGTAAAGGCCACATGTCTGTCAGTTGCGGCTGTCCCCATTTCTCAGTTGCAAACTATTGGCTTCACGTGGATCGTAGGTTCGATTCCCGCACGGAACGAGTATTTGTGTGACCCGCAGATGATCGTTCCAGATCTGGAACTATGTTCCCAAAGGGGGTTGACGTCAGCCAGCCGTTGAATAATCTAGCCAACGCCATTAAGAACACGACCCACACGACCCGACCCCACCTATGTGGGATATGGACTCGAGAAAGAAATACAGGCAAATTATATTTGGACAAAGAAACCGGATAAAACGAAAATTACTCGTGATAGCTCAATATACTCGAAATTCCATACACTGGAGCAATCTGAGTTCAATCCCCGATGCCGGGTAATTTTGAGCGCTGCCTCATCACGTGCTCAGCGCCGAAGGAAAACATGGTGAGGGGACCTGAATATTTTCGAAATGCCCTATATCCCCTGTACAGAGAAGGCCTTCGCCCAGCAGTGGAACATATCTTAGCTGCTAGTTTTGCGCTCTGGTGTCAATCGTCCCCATGTTGGTACGTTTACCCTGTATATTTTCGAAATAATAACGAAAAAAAATATATTTCGTAGATATGTGAAGTCAGGCAATTCACAGTAAGGTCGCGTGTTGCACTATGTCTACTATCTTTACCCTGCAGTGGGACATGTACCTTTAGGCTGTTAGTTTTACTCTACTTTTCACTTTAGTCGTACAAGATAGAGTATATTTATATTAGCAGTAATGTTTGTATTATCGACGAAAGTGTTCCAAAAGAACTCTTATCACTCTCTAATAAATTTTCCAAACAAACGTTTTAGATATCGGAACACTAACTAACACTTAAATAACGATAAGGGTCTCGAGTTAAATAAATGTATTTTACGTACAAGTATGTAAAAACATTTTATCTCATACGCAGCATTTAAATACATAGCCCCAGTTTTGCATTGAATTAGTAAAGTAAAATTACGACTTATAATTCGAATCCGCTTCGAATTTTATTAATAAAATGTTTTGTTTAGTTACCAGCAAAGCCTGTAAAGTGTTTAACTATACGTATTTAAATAATTTATGACTATAAAACGGAAAGTATTTCCAATATCAGAGATACTTGACTTTTAACCCCATATTAATTAATGTCGAGCCGTGACAGCTCATTGTCCGGGCGCTCGCCTTTAATTCAATATACTCGAGCAACATGAGTTCGATCCCCGGTGCCGCCAATGATTGCTAATTTTAAGTGCTGATTTATCACGTGCTCAGCGCTGAAGGAAAACATTGTGAGAAAACCTGCATATTTTGGAAACAACGAAAAAAAATATTTCGAGGATATGTGAAGTCCGCCAATCCGCAGTGGGGCCGCGTGGTGGACTATGCCCTGATACCCTGTGTATAGAGGAAGCTCAGCAGTGGGACATATATAGGCTGTTACTTATACATGAAATCAACAGTTTCACAGATTGAATACAGCAACTAGAACGCGAAAACATTTCGTTTCACAAACAATTTAGTTTATCTATAATTTAACATTCGAAGGACAGATTTAATCGATCGAGCAACAATTTATTATAACACCAAATGATATTCAATTAGGATTATTCATTTTTAATAACTAATATTTAAACCTTACTTACATTATACTTACTTAGTTTAAACCTTACTAAACAAAATTTTCCTTACATTTTTCCAAAGATAAGAAAGATGTTGCACCTTTTACATTCATATCTTTTTATATTTTACTAGCTGACCTGGCAAACGTTGTTTTGCCATATAAATTATTTGTAGGGTAGAAAAAAATTATTGGGGTAGACCACCCTTAACATTTAGGGGGATGAAAAATAGATGTTGTCCATCCTAGCCGATATGCACACAAAATTTCACGAAAATCGGTCGAGCCGTTTCAGAGGAGTTCAGTTACAAACACCGTGACAAGAGAATTTTATATATTAGATATTAATTTAAATAAATAAAATGACAGAGGTCTACCGTTGTGCGCGCATCAAGGAATAACTACCGGATGGTTATCAATTAATTCTTCTAAGTTTTATTTCTTAGACACTTGGCCCTTATATAAAAAAAATATTACTAAAGTTAAAAAACCGGTCAATTCCGAGTTGAACTCGTACGCGGAGGGTTCCGTACCCACACATTATAACGCCGTAATAAAGGGAAATTATCACCACTGATTTTCTCAGGAACGGGTGGAACTGGCAGGTTGAAATTTATACCAGATATTGGGGTCTATAGTACCTATTAGGTATGGTACCTATAGGTGTATGAAAAGCATCATTTTGGATCGAAAACCTACATCGTACAATTTTTTTAAACGCATTTAATTCAACACCGAGACCTTATTTAGTGTCTATTCGTAGAACACATTCATCATATCTGCTTTGTTTTCATTTAATTTGTAACATTAACATCAATCACACATTCTCAAATTACATATTTTACATTAAATATTTAAAAACTAGAGATGTCGTCTTCACTTTATTGATATTTAACTATAAATCATTTTTAGCGTAAATCTTTGCAGTTAAAACGAAATTAAAAAATATTTAGATAAAACTCAGTTGTCGGTAATAAAAAAAAATTAAACATCCACCATAATCTCCCTATGAACAAGTAGATATAATTTAAAAAACAAAAAAAACCCAACTGCGCTTCATTGTAATTTGGAAATGATTTTGATTTATCCAGTGTCACTCTCACAGTAAATACGAATGTAACGACACATCCCAAGCCAATAAAATCCATCAAGCCGTTCAGGCTGCAGAGCGATACGTACTCTTGGAAAACATAACCCTCCTTCTGACGCAGTCGGGTGAATGCAAAAGAAACTAACTAGAAATCAAACAAATTTACCTCTGTGTAGATTATTTGACGTGTTTAAATCCCCGTCTCGCATGTATGGAAGAACGAAGAGGAAATCCATCGGTGCGATGTTCCGCGCGAGCGTTTCTCCGCGTATACGAAAACTCAAGCGATATAGCTAAATAGGACGTCCGCGATAGGTGACACGATAAGCTTATCGCGGTCGATGTAAACAACTATCGAATGGAAAGAGACGGAATACATACAAAAGGTAGAGTAATATTCTATACGCAGTATAAAACAAAGTCGTCCCGCTGTCTGTCTGTCCCTATAATATCAAAAAAAAAAGAGTAAAATTACATTTACATTTCGTTTCATAGGTTGCTGTTGACGTTTATCTCTCAATCTTGGAAATGTAATCTGTGTTAAATGGTGTTGGTGTCACGATTAATTAATGTATATTTATTGTTATATTTACTTCAAATCGTCTTTTTTATTGCGACACTGTTTATTTGTCACAAATTTATTACGCAGGCGCGTAAGAAGTTATACTTTTTTAGCTTAACAAAAGAACAGTAACGATTGTGTTGAAATTAACTGATATCACCTGTGCCCGGTTTGTGAACAAGACACTAAATGGAATTATGGTTAAATGTGTTACATATCCGTTCCCATAGAAAGCAACTAAGCAGCGTCTTACACAAACAATACCACGACTCAAGTTTTGCTGAAACCATGTGAACGGATTACACATCCAGACACCGCTATTCTCCACGACGGCCAATACAGCCGACGTCCATGGAAATGTTGCCAGTCGACACCGCTGCTTGCCGTATTCAAGAAATTTGGTTAACGATTCATTTTAGTAAGACGGTCATTCTGTATCTAGCGTCGATCGGGGTCAGACTTAGGTTAGGCTAGCTATAGTTTAAAGTGTAACTTTTTAGTAAATAAATTAAGGCGAATTGTTTTTTTTTTTAGAGTCCTCCGACAGCGAGTTCTATGATTAATGTGAAGGAATTGTTATCGGTGGAAGGTTTGCGCTCGCATCGTAAAAGTTCTACTCTAATAATTTTTTCCAAACGCTCCAAAAGAAGTATAACTTCAAAAATGCAAAAGCAATACGAGGAGTATTGCTTTTGCACGCTCTTCTATCCCGATCACGGGGCATATTATATTAACATATATCTTTGAATTATCGTAATAATCATTCAAAGATACCTGTTAAGTTATGATCATAATCCATACTAATATTATAAATACGAAAGTAACACTGTCTGTCTGTCTCGCTTTCATGCCAAAACTACTGTACCGATTTAAATGAAATTTGGTATACAGGTATACAGAGCCTGAGAAAGGACATAGGCTATTTTTTAATTGGATTTTTTCTTCTTAAATAAAGATGTTTATTTAAATCCTTCAACGCGAGCGAAGCCGCGGGCTAAAAGCTAGTGTTACATATAACATTATACTTTTAACTTCATAACTTTCAACCAATATAATTGCCAATTATTCATTTATTTGAGTCATATCTATGCAAGACATTATCATTGGTTGACCGTTAAGAAATTGACAGTTTGGTGATCAATCACCGAATGCTTTTAATAACTTGTAACAGTCCAATTTGCTATCTTTTATCGAGACATTCAGTCAATAGATGGCACTATAATATTTTTTTTACTGGTCTATTTTTCTTCAGTAGTGGAAAACAAGCTCCAAAATGAGTGAGAAAAGAAAACTGTATCTTTTTTATTTTACATTAAAAATATTTATACTACAATAAGAAATGATAAAAAACTATGTGAAGAACATAAAAAAGATTTTTAGTGTAATCAAAATGAAATAGAGTAAAACACTAAAATCGATTGAAAATTGGGTCATATGGATATGAAATTTTTCCTCCTAAAAATTTTAATTGATATTTTTAATATTACAGTTATTTTTAATTGAGAAAATTGTCCGACTTGAAATTATCATAATGGTGCCTGAGTCGTTGAGAGTATTGTTGTTAACCCTAATATCCTATCAGCCGATTTCACTTCCAGACAAGAATAATTTGAATATGGTAGAATTTGAAGTAGGGCGGACTTAATGCCTAGTGGCATTCTCTACCAGTCAACCCTTGTCATGGTGAGAAGTAGATGGCAGGTGCTAAAACTAAAGTAAATAAAAGTAGGAAAATATATACATAAAAATCAAATTAAATATTATGTGTGGATATATACGAATATGTATATAAATATTATTAATCATAAACTACATATATATGACATACATGTATGGATGAATATATACATAAATATACACACACACATATATATATATATATATATATATATATATATATATATATATATATTTAATAATATATATACACATAAATATTATACATATATATATATATATATATATATATATATATATACACATAAATATTGTAGATGTACATATATGGATAATAAAAACCGAGCATGGGATAAGCCAAACAAAATTACTGATTTAATAGGTATTCTCGAACTAACTTTTTAAATGTATATTTATTTGGAGCTATTTTGATCTTATCGGGAAGGGCGTTCCAGAGGAGTGTAGCTTGAACAGTAAAAGAAGAGTTAAAGTATCCTGTATTATGTTGCGGGATGCGAATCCTATGTAGGTTAAAGGAACGAGGTACTCTGTCAGAAGCAGAGTGAAATAATTGGAAGGTATTCCTGAGATATGTAGGAGAATTAGAATTAGATAATACCGAATACAATAACAACAGAATTCTGGAGCAACGCCTTTGACGAATAGAAAGCCAGTTAAGCTTGCGACGATAAGAAGATACGTGGTCATATTTACGTAAACCGAAAATGAATCTGATGCAGTTATTGAGAAGGCGCTCCAATTAATTAAGACGAGATTGGGATAGGTCCGGGTAACACACATCTGCATAGTCAATAATGGGTAAAATTAAGGACTGGACAAGCAAGAGCTTAGTTTTATGGGGCAGAAAATTTTTAAGGCGATAGAGAGAACGTAAGGTGGCAACGACTTTCCGGCTGACTTCGGCAACCTGTGTTTCCCAACTAAACGACTGGTCCAAATACAAGCCAAGACTTTTAACAGATTCAGAGAACGGAATTAACGTTCCATTGTAAGTGACAGGGACAAGGCTACCATAATCAATCCTGGCAAGCATCCTTGGACCACCAATTATAATAGCTTTGCATTTAGAAGGATTAACGGTAATTCCAAATCTGTGCGACCAATCTCTAATTTATTCCAGATTGTTATTAAGGGTTATTATGCTGTTATTAAGATCATTAATATCTGTTTGGACGTAAAGCTGTAGATCGTCTGCATACAGATGATACGAACAATTGATAACTGAGGTTATAGAGTTAATAAACAATGAAAACATGATAGGAGAAAGTATACCGCCTTGCGGCACCCCAGAATCAACGTCCGCCCAGGCAGAACACTGCTGTCCTAAGCGGACCGACTGTTGGCGATCGCGAAGATAGGAGGAAAAACCAATCTAAAGCTGGGGTAGAAAATCTAAGGTAAGTAAGGTAGGATCTGAGGATTTCATGGTCAACTGTGTTGAAAGCGTTAGAAAAGTCCACAAGCGCCACCACTGTGAGCTTTTGAACATCCATCCTTTCAACCTTTTCGTATGTCATCGGTGACCTTAATAAGTGCAGTGGTGGTACTGTGACCCGGACGAAACCCAGATTGATAAGAGGTTATGTTTAGCAATAAATACGGAAATTTGCTTATGAACACAGGCCTCAAGAACTTTAGAGAGAAATGGAAGAATAGAAATAGGACGAAAGTGGTTCGGCAAAGAAGGATTGGGGATTTTGGCAAGTGGCAGAACAAAAGCTTTTTTACACAAGGATGGGTAAACACCAGAGTCCAAAGAAAAATTGATTATGTGGGTGATTGCAGGTAAAAGGTAGTCCAGGATCATTGTAATCATTTGTTTACTAACCTCGTCGCTTCCCACAGCTTTAGATTTGATTGCTATTATAGTGTTTTTAACGACATTGAGATTTACCGGTGTGAACTGAAAATGTGGAAGACTTTGAAGAGGTGACAAATAACCAATAGAAGTAATTGTTTGAGAGCGGATAGTAGGGTCCATAGATGGAGTAGAAATAAAATGTTGGTTAATGTCATCTAAAGAGAGCGAAGAAAAATGATCTGATGGGCACGGCTTGGTGATGCCAAGAGATTTAAGATCCATACATCAGCGGACGAAGAATTACTAATATTGGCATGGATATAACGGCGTTTAGCATTTCGTACCATCTGATTGCATCTGTTTCTAAGAGATTTAAAATGTAACCAATTCTCTTCCGTACGTTCCCGTTTAAACTTCGCAAAGGCCCGATCCCCTCTCGCCATTGCCACCCTAACGCCTCTAGACATCCATGGAGCGGGAGGACGCTTTACCCTTACGAGATGTACAGGTGCATGAGTATTAAACAAGTTAAGTACCATATTGTTTAGTAGCACCACTTTATCATCAATCGTAGGCGCAGTAGCTAAAGGGGTAAAGTCGATGAGCGATGCATCACTTCTCAGTTTTTCCAACTCAATTCTTGAAAAGTTTCGTAAGTGCAAAAATGTGGGAACAGGTTTAGGAGGGATGAGTTTATAGGAAAAATAAATTAAGTCATGGTGGGAAAAGCTAGGAGCAGATAGCTGACCGTGCTTCATAACTCAGTCAGGATCAGGGGAAGCTGTTATAATGAGGTCAATCCATGAATCATCAGTGTGAACATTATGATGAGTTGCCGCTAACGGCAGGATATGGAGGTCGACTGAGTCAATAATTGATCGAAGTTTTTGAGAACGAGATGTATTTTTCAACAGATCAGTGTTGGAATCACTTACAGTCTTTTACAATCTTTTACAGAGTCCTGTCACTTATTGTTATTATTTTGTTTGTTTTTTCGTTACGTTTACATTCATTATAAGTCTCTGTGTAGTTACATTATTATTTTTAAGTTTTATATGTATTCATTTGTTGTTAGACTCTGAATAAATTTCATTATATATATACATGTAAATTATATACATATAAAATAATATTTCTTCTTCTCAGCAGTGTTTAATAGTGATGCCTTAATCAGTTAAGAAAATATGTGAAGTCCGCCAATCCGCAGTGGGGCCGCGTGGTGGACTACGCCCTGATACGCTCTGTATAGAGGAGGCCTTTGCCCAGCAGTGGGACATATATAAGCTGTTACTTTAATCAGTGCTCATATATGTTAGCTGAGCCAGTCGTAATGAGCATTTCGCGTTTACAAAAGATGCACTACTACAGTATGTTAATAGCTTGGACACTTACAATATTTAATTATTTTTAGTGCTGATTTGCACTTTAAATGAAATTTTAAATGCGAGTTTAATAGATAAATTGTGGAAAACGTTCTCAGCACCGCGGGATTAGTACCTGCTTCTTATGGGTGACGTGTACGAACGCTCTAGATAACTGAGCTATTGCCGCGTTGACACTATCAAAGTAAACGTGAACAAACAGCTTTGATCAAATTGCACTTGTATACCAGTTGATACTACACTTCCTTTATTCCTCAAGGGAATTTTCTGAAGCAGATCGTCAAGTGGCCAAGGTAGGTTTTTGCACTTGACACCATTTTGTATTTCAACTTACATTCAAATAGGCTATGAAAAGTTGACAGCGGTTAAGGTCCTAAGGGACTTTAGTGTTACCACAATAAAAATAACTTGTAAGCAGATGTCAAATTTTCTTTGTCCAAGTGTAATTTGATCAAATCAAAAAAACTTCCCAGTACACGTCAAATTTGCTTATTATTTGCTGCTTAAGCGACTAAAATCTCGACGGCTCGGGTACTTACAATGCACTCCTATAAGCATCTTCTCTATACCGGCTCTGTAGCAGTGGAAGGCGCGTCTGTAGTGAGCTTTATCCTCGCACCGGGCCCCCATCGCCAGCAGATAGCCCGCCTCGAACACGTAACTGTCCTCCGTCTCTTTCGAACGCCCCGCGCCAGACAGGGACGCCTCCAAGCCGCACGACGCGCTCTCCGAAACGCAGTCCGTCCCGCTCAGGCACGCGGGCCTGTCCACGCTGTCGTTATCCGTCTCCCTCTCGCCCGTAGCGGACGCGCCCGCGTCGAACAGCGGGCTCTCGAACACGTAGCTGTTCTCCATCTCTTTCACTCGCACCACACTCGAGGGGGACGGGGCGAGGTCGCCCGCGTAGTCGTCGAATATCGTCGACCCCGAGGCGGAGTTCTCCGTCTCTGTCGCACGCGACGCGCTGGAGCGGGACTCGGTAAAGCCCATCGTGCTGTAGTCGTCGAAGGTCGTCGACCCCGAGGCGGAGTTCTCCGTCTCTGTCACACGCGCCGCGCTAGAGCGGGACGCCGGGTAGCCCATCGTGTGATAGTCGTCGAAGGTCGTCGACCCCGGCGCTGGGGCGTCAAAGTTGATCAGGTCCGGCAGCACGTCGCGCCGCTTGACGCACGCCGTAGCGCCCGCTACGCTGACCTTGCTCAGCTCGTCGTAGAAGTCGCTGCCCGCGCTTCCGATGGACGCTACGGACTCGTAGCTCGACGCGTGCGACGCTACGCGCGGGGGAGTCCCGCGGATCTCTACATCCGCCGCCTCGTAGATCGGGATGCGGGAGACGTCTAATGTGTGACTCTCGCCGGTTGCGCTTTCCGTCGCTTCGAGCGGTGTTCTAGCTGAAAGTGTATTTTTTTTTATCAACAAGCGTTATAAGAAAGCTGGTTGAATGTTAAATTGAAAGCACAAATGCACATATATGGTATGTAAATTAAAAATACAAAAATTGTGCTATAACTATGATAACTAAAACACAAAACCAACCACTGTGTGTTGGACTTCTGGCATCGTCATCCGAGGTCTGGTATTCCAAAGGAGGGGTTTCCTCTATAGGTAAGTGCAGAGAAGACCTTATAGCATTGATCACACCGTGTGGAGTTGGCTCAGGGTAACCAGTCTGAAACATATAAGAACAAACTTACAATAACAATTATTTTATTTTTATTTTTTTTCAAGTGAAAAGGTGGCAAACGAGCTGGCGGTTCACCCGATGTTAAGTGATGGCCACCACCCATGGACATTAGCAACATCCGTAGGGTTGCAAATGTATAGCCACCATTAAATAAAGTGGACCCCGGCTACCTTACTCCCCAGACGAAACGCAGAAGTGTAACACTTCTACTTTTCACCGGTCTTCTATGACGTCGTGGTAGTGGTACTAACCCTGACAGACCTGCCCATTCTTGCAACAGTCGAAGCTGTTGTGTGGCCCTACCACAGTAACATTACAGTACAGTCTCCTTAAACTCCAAACTATGCTATTTTGATAGTAAATATCACTAAGCACACACATTTTACGGTGGGCCACGTAGCAGCCTCGGCTGTTGCACGAATGGGCAGGCACGTCAAGGTAAGTACCACGACCACACAGAAGACCAGCGTAAAGTGGAAGTATGACAAATACTTTCGCGTTTCGTCTAGTGAGTGAGGTAGCTGGAGCCCAATTTTCAAAAGGTTGTCAACGCATCTGTAACCCTCGGGTGTAACAGATGTCCATGGGCGTAGGTATTCACTTAACATCAGGTGAACCGTCTGCTCGTTTGACAACTTTTCGCATTAAAAAAAAAAACATTTATTACAAAGCCTACATATTGGCATCATACACTGTCAAGAGAGCAAACAAAGAATATAGGTTATTTTACTTTTACTGAACAACTCAGATTACCATAGGGGAAAATAGCTTTCTTTCTTATCTCTGGTTTTAAAGGTTCTATTCTGTTCTGTTCTGGTGGATATAGAGCTTCCATTACTCACTTGAAGAAAATTGACAAAGTCCGTACTGGTGAAGAGTAAATGATGATCAGCAACAAATTCAAGCAATGTCTTTATGGATTTCGCTCTTTCCTCTATTACCTACAAATAAAGATACCTTAGATAGTATAAAGGGCATTATTTCATAATAGTATGTAATGAACATTTATGAAATGAATAATTTATGAAATTACTCAAATGAAATTAAAAAATTACTAGTTTAAAAACAGAGTGACTATTAAAAATTTAGTAGAAGACTGACAGACCATATGCATGTTTTTAATTACCGAACTGGAGTAAGCAAATCAACTTAATAAAATAAGGAAAAGTCAAAAATTAACTGCAATGACATCAAGTAAAGAAATTTCTTCACCTCCTTTTGGAAACGCTTGAAATAACTGTTCTTGGGTAGGACGGGGAAGCTGCCTCGTAGGTGCAATCCTAAGTGCAGCGCCCGCATGCTACGATGAAGCCTCTGCGCATCGCTGTACCGCTTCCAAACGGACACGACCGTTACCGCCTCCGGTGAGTCGAGTGGAAAAAGCTGAAATGTGTTAGGACAGCCATTAATTATTTTAGTGTATTAAGAATTGATCGGACTGGAGATATAATGTGAGTTAATGGCAAGCAAAGTGTAGAGATCCTTCCCATAATTGTTTATCCATTTTAAAGAGATGGTAACTGAGCATGTAGGCCACAAGACGGCGAGATGGAACTGCCACCAATGGACGCACAACACCAGATATCACTAACTACTGTGGTATCCATTTACTATCCTTACTTATGTGAGGCTGTAGTATTCCACCAAAGGGCAGAAAGGATATAATTATGTGTGATATTTGTGCACCATTTTAGTAAAAGTAGCACATTTGGCTATCACTTTACACCCTCACACCCGGATTAGTCTACCCCAGGATATAAAATAATGCTTTTCTGTGTTTGTAAGTTTGTAGAATTACAGTTGCTACAACATGGACATAGACTTCAAAGAAACTTCAGAAGAAACAGATATTGTCTTACTTCCCTTAAACCCTTCTTGTTCATACAAAACTATATATACAAGTTTTAGTTTATTATTGGTTCATTGGTTAATTCGTAATGTAAAAAACTGAATTTAATAAAAGCAAAGGCAATAGTGATATTCTAACATAGTATTGAATCATCATCATCATTTCAGCCTGTTTTAGTCCACTGCTGAACATAGGCCTCCCACAAAAACTGCCATGAAGAATAATCCTTAGCCACTTGCATCCATCGACTTCCCGCACATTTGGACAGGACTCTATCTAGTGGGGGGTTGTCTTACACTTCGATGGACCTTTCTTCCCCAACAGTTATCACTTGTATGAGTTATATGGCTGGCCCATCACCACTTCAGCTGGCTAATCTATCTTAAGCTCACAAATATTGTTGTGTTTCTTCTACATTCAGTAACATGAATTTAACTATGTAAGGGATGTCAAAGATACATTTACTTAAAAGATATCTGGGTTTTAGATAACTTTCTTACTTGCCATCACAAAGACATTCAGAGCTTAAAAACTTAAAGAGCAAACAACAGTGTGAAAGTTAATTAGATAATTTTCACTTTATGTTGTTAGTGAAAGGCGATATATCTATATTCAGATTTAACTGCAGATTGTGATATATATGAAAAAATCATCTTTTAAAATAGACAATAGGTTTGCTATTATAAATTTCTCAGTGTTCAATGAAAAATATAGTATCTTTAAAGAGAAGATATTAAATAATTTTGGATATCATCTATAACATTTTTTGTGGCTCTAAAGTAAGACATTAAAAAAAATTAGGCTCGGTTAAAAGTCATGTTCAACATTTATTGTATTTGATTTTTTCATTTATCACCTTTAACAAATAACATTTTTAATTATGAACTTTAACTATCCTGTAGTAACTTTTTAGAACAAAATGAGTTATCGCTCATTTTCCTCTGTGACTATTGATTACTCAGTCAGTTTTAAATATTGGAAATGCGACTAAGTCACAGATGCTGGCAAAGTCCATAAATTACATACAACTAATCAATTTAAAGTGCTCGTCCTAAAAACATTGCTATGTAATTATTTGTTGTAACAAACCATTTTGTACCATACAATTGATACGAAAAAGCAATCAGAATCGATTTGTATACAAATCAATGGGCATAGGTTTATTTTGAACTATTAGAATTTTTTTTAATATTAAATGAAATTATATATTGTGCAAATATTTACTCTAATCTAGACCAAATAATACTATCCTGGTGTTCAAATTGGTATTGACCATGTACATCTGAAGTAAAATCTCTACAGCCAGTACTAAGAAAGATTGTACAACTACAAACTGAACTGATATTTGGAATAAGTGGTGCAATAGGCTTTATACTGAATGGTTGTACTCATCTCTTTTACTTGGTTAGGGACATAGTCATGATAGTACTTGTTGTATAGTAGATACGTACCACCGACGTAATTTTGTATATTGTAAATCCATTTTTGTGCTTTGCAGTTTCGTCTACGGAGAACCGGCGAACCCACTTGTCTCTAGTCGACATATTGGAAAGAAACGAACTGTTGAGTACTTTAAGTTCATTAAATAACTTTTCCAAATTGTATTAAAAAATGGCAAAAGCATAGGTAGAGTAAGACCGTTTAATTTTATACAACATTATCAAAGAAAGTGATGTTGTGAACGTTTGGTGCACACAATAACACATTACAAAATCAGCCAACCAGGTAAAAAATTCTGAATTATGATTATTGCGAAGTCTGACGTACGTTATAAAGTGTTGCCACTTGCCAGTTGCCACTTCTAAAACGTAAATAGTGATTAAAAATATACGACCCCATAAATTATGACAATACTTCTATATTCTCTTGTTTAAACTTCCGTGTCTATTATTAAGTATTTCTTAACTATGATGTAATCTCTATATTTTGAATATTCCGAATGAAAGACTCTATCCACTGTATCATGAAATAAAAGAAAAACCAATTTTTTTCTCAGGTTATGAATCCCTATTGTTTAAACGCTATTTCAAAGTCTATTTGGACAGTTAGTATTTAACTAAATATAACTGATATCTGGTATCCCTAATTTATATTCTTATAAAATTAAGAATTTTGATTGGCACACGAAAATTGAACATAAACATATAGTTTTTTCGCCAAGAGTAATATAAAAATTAAAGTAACAGTCTATAAATGTGTTGGGCAAAAGCCTCTTCTGTAATGGGGGTATCAGGGCATAGGCAACCCCATTGAGAATTCTCAATGGGGTTGCATAGTGGTCTATGCCTACTTCAAATATTTTCGATTTTTTTTTTGTAATTGTTTCGAAAATATGCTGGTTTCCTCACGATATTTTCCTTCGCCGCTGAGCACGTGATAAATCAGCTCTTAAAATTAACAATTTCATTGGCGCTGGCACCAGGGATTGAACACAGATTGCTCGAGTAAAGCGAATTAAAGACGAGCGCTAGGACATTGAGTTACCTTACGGTTTAAGAAATAAGTAAAAACTTGCTTTATATGTCAAATGTAATATGTTTGATGAGCCCAAAAAAATACTTTCAAATAGACTTCCTTTGCTAAATATCCTCCACAACTGAAGAACTATGGATTGTAGAGATAAGGAAAGTATCTCATACGCGTTTTTAACTGAACAAGAATCCAAACAAATGTATAAAAATGTACTTATCCTTTATAATTATATGAAATCAATTATCCATGAAAATGGGTGTCCCACAAGGACCAATCTTGGGCCCATTATTATTTTTAGTATATAAATGATCTCCCCTTTTATGCCAGTGAGTTGTCTGATGTTGTACTGTTTGTTGACGATACATCGCTAATTTTTAAGGTTGAAAGAAATGTATCAACGTGAATGGTGCACTTTCGCATATCCTCCACTGGTTTACCATTAATAATATGGTATTAAATGCCAAAAAACTAAATATCTTCTTTTTACTCTTTCCTGTGTAAGAAGGCAAAGTTTTAGTTTAATATTAAATAGCGTAACCCGTAATCCTGTTGAGTCTACGGTATTCTTAGGAATTACAGTAGATTCAAAGCTCCAGTGGAGTCTCCATCTATCATCTCTTGCGAATAGAATAAGCTCCACTGCTTTTGCAATTAGAAAGATTAGCAGCTAACAGACAAGGAGCAATCTATTACATCGGAGCCCGGAATACACTTAGAGATCTTTTTAAAGTTATTAATATACCCACTGTTGCATTGTACTCAATATATTTATCGTTATATTTTGTAAAATATAATTTTAGTTATTACTTAAAGAATAGTGACAGATATAAACTAAATACTAGAAATATGGACAAATAAATAAGTCGTTCATGGGGCAAAGTGTGCGCATATATAATAAAATCCCACAGTCGATATTAAGTCTGCCTCTTGACCAATTTAAACGCAGAATTAAAAGTAAACTTATGGCTAAAGCATATTGTACTATTACAGAATATCTCGACGAAGCTAATGTGTGCAGTGAATACTGTTGATATTCACGTAGGCTATAATAAGAATATTATTACATATATTTTATATTGTAATCTGATCTTTTTTCAAAAAAAGCAACTGTTGAGTTTATTGCCGACCTCTTCTCAACAGGCACTGCCTTCCGAACCGGTGGTAACTTACTTACGAACTTATGTACTAATTATTTATGTAAAATTCGACGTTTCATAAGAACATGCAAGCGTCTATTTGAATAAAGATATTTTGAATTTGAATTAAACTCGCAATAGGTATACAAATAATTAGGAACTCTGATATTTCCTAAGCATGTATAAAGTAATACCAACATCTTGAATATGTAAACAACCTAATTACTGTCTCTATATTTTAAATCAATACTTGAAACACATTTATTTGCTAGATAAGGCAGTAGGCCTTGTACAAATTATAAAGAAGACCAATAAAATATTAGATACAGCTTCCAACTTTTGCTAAATATACTTTCGGATTACTTGTTGTTATAGTGACATTTGTTTTCGTAACATTTCAAAGAAAAAAACCTCAAAGTTATCTCGTTCGCATTTTTAACTAGCCCACTTCAAGTTTCTCACTTATCCCCACCACTTCCACACTCATCCGAATGGCTCGCGGCGAGAGGTCGTGCTCGCTTTGCTTCGCACGTAACTTCATTCCGTCCGTGCATCGTATTGCGTTCGTCGAGTGTCAGGTTTCTAGTCCTCGTGTCGTGTAATACTTATTCAGTTGTGATGAATCACAAGTGTAATCTGTGAATCGTTTATTATATTTTATTCGAATTTAAAAATGCGTTAGACTCATTCGATAAACAAATACTAACTACAACTACAACAACATGGGTTCGAAAATCGAGTACGTCGATTCGTCACATCTGTACGCCACAAACTACGTCCGTAATTCGAAAGCTATAGGTGTGCTTTGGGCGATATTCACGATTTGCTACGCGATTATAAGCGTTGTAGCGTTCGTGACACCGGAGTGGATCGGCGATTTGGAGACGGAGTACCCGAGGAAGTTTGGGCTGTGGCAGATATGCAGGGCCGACGAATCGGTGGACGACTGCAAGGGGAGGCTGGACGATTTCTTCTCGATCAACGGCTTCATATTCAGGATTGCGACCGTGCTCGTCGGCCTGGCGGTCGCGCTATCGCTGTTCACAATATGCACGATGCTATTGTTCTTCTTCTGTCAGTCAACAACAGTGTTCCACATCTGCGGATGGCTGCAGCTCCTGTCCGGTAAGTGTTTAGTGTTTACTTTCCTGCCTCAGTGTTGCCAGCGCATATTCATGGCAACGCGAAAAATTTTAATTTAAAGAAAACTTAATTTGGGCAGGTAGTCGTATTTACTTTTATTACCGATGCTGACATTTAGATTTTACCACAAAATTTTGAAATACCTATCATACGGAATGTGAAAGTTTTGAAACGTATAATATTGTCTTTAGACTGGCGGGCTTTGATTTCAATATCACCTACATTATTGCTTATGAAGGTCTTTTGCTTTTAAATGCCAAGTAACTAGTCGAAGGAGGTTTTTTATGTAACGTATTATTTACACTATCTATATTCTTATTGTTTCTATGTTAGTAAAACATCACAACAAAGCTTATCTTAGTATATTATAAAATGTGAGAAATTTGCTTTAAGTGCAGTATCTATTATTTATTTGCGCTTTCATTACAAATTTATAAATTTACCTACATTACCTGTATGTAAATATTTAATCAAACAGTTCGAGGTGATGTCATATAATAATTAACATATTAGTCATCCTTTTTAAAACACAAACAAATACAATTTAATTTCGCAGTTTTAAACATTACACTGCATTGTAAAATTGCCAAAATAATTTTTACTAAAAACTTGTCTTTATGTTTATGTAAATACTACTGTATGCACTATTCCGACAGATGCATGGTTCACTCACATCCGCCTCAGAAGCAGGTGTGGCGGCTGTGGCGTAGTCGGGTCAGATTCCTTTGACTACAACGATAAAAAAACTAAGCTGACAGTTTTTTAAGCGGGATTCGGAAATTCCGTTTTTGTTTTATCACGATATGAATATGTGTCATACACATGGCGGATGTTTTCTCTTGACTGCGCATTTACCTAATTTAACGGTATAAAGTTCATTCACACCATCGTACTAAAAAGACTGAACATAAAATGTGTGAAAAATGTAACAACACAACTATTGCACGTTTTTGTTCAAAGGTCAGCTTTTTACATATTTCACGACATGGCAATAAAACTAGGTATTCTCTATTTAATGTTAAATATTTGGAATCCACTAAACATTTACCGGTCTTGGTTTTCGATAATTTTTTTAAGTTATACTTCTTTTAGCGCGTATGGAAAAATTTATGATAGTAACGACTAAAAAACGACATGATGAAGTTCTTCACGGTTCCAGAACTTCACAGTAGTACCATGGACACTACTAACAACTTTTCGACATTTACCTATAATTCCTAGTTATTTAATTTAACCGTTCTCAATCATTTAATGTCTTCTTTCAATAACAAAAAGTCCCCAGTGGATTAAATTTTCTTATTTTACGCTAAAGAAGTATAACTTCTTACGTGCGTACATAAGTACGCACACGGTTTTTTTTTCTTTCAAAATGCAAAACAAACAAATCTCACTCGCGCGCGTGAACGAGCACAAACGAATCGAAATGCCACAGATAACGAAAGTAACCCTGTAACATTTAAACCGTACACTGCTGTGGTGAAACGATGGCCCCTTCCCACAAACAAAACTTGTTAAGGAAATAGGTAATATAGCGTTCGGGGAATAGTGATATGCAAATTTCTTATTTTAGTATTATCATTATGCTACTTATTATTTGAATATAGAACGTATATTTGTTTGTTTTAGCTAGCCTTCACAGGATTTTATTGTGCTTACAATTTTCACAGAAAATTGTTATTTAATAGTAGTCCAATGAATCATATTTTGCATTCCACTTTGACAAAATTGTCTAGATTAAAAAAGTTTTCGTCCATTTTATATTATTAATTAAAGTGTTAAATAATAATATCTTTCTTTGTTAAAGAGAGCGCCGGACACTGAGCCCTGAGCTATAAACGCTTCTTATTTGTGCACTTAAAATGAAAAAAGAAGTATAAATAAAATAATACCGAGAGACAGATAAGTAATAATTCTAAAAACCCAGATTTTTATTATTTTTATGCCAAAATAGAAGCTTTACCTTGTTCCGAAACTGATTTAGCTTATTACTTTTTTTAGTTTTTTATTTATTTATTATTTTTTTTATGTGATAAGTTGCCAAACGAGCAGACGATTCTGATATATCCGCGAGTTGCAGATGCGTTGACAATCTTTTGAAAATTGGGCTCCGGCCACCACACTCACCAGACGAAACGCGAAAGTATTATACTTCCACTTTACGCCGGTCTTCTGTACCACGACCTAACGGTCGTGGTACTTACCCGGACGAGCCTGCCCATTCGTGCAACAGCCGAGGCTGCTGCGTGGCTCTACCACAGTGAAAAAACCATAGAGAACACTGTGTTTCTGAGTGAGGCCTTATTTCATGTTTCATATAAATAATGACACTTAACCATAGACGGAAGAATAGCGAATATAGGAAAGAGACATTGGAAATTATGAGTTTTTCATTAGTAGAAGGTGAATGCAGCTGCGTGATATATGAATGGAGTTTCATAATCGGATTAGATACCGTACAAATACTACCGGTTCGTTCGTAAATAGAACGTAGTTAAATAATTTTAAGGTAATGTTACTACTTAATAATACAGGGTTAGCCGTTATTGCTCAGTCCTGGTAGTCTAGCAACGAATCAGACGAGTCTAGTTGAAATTCGGAATAACTATAGATGACCGATTTATCAAATACATAATGAAACTATAATACTTCCGACCATAGCAAAGTGAATTAAATTTATGTGTCTATAAACAGATACGTGAAACGCGCAGGATAAGAGTGAGATTTGGTGTAGCTCTTTTTTTGTAAGAAGATAGCAAGCGAGTTGGCGGATCACCTTATGTTAAGTGATAACTGCCGCCCACGGATATCTGCTACATCCCTAAGGGTGCAGACGTGTTGCCAGCTTTTAATAAATTCGGCCTCAGATACCTCACTAGCGGAAATATTATATAGCAGCTTAGAAGATATTCTACGCTGCTATATAATATTTCCACTTCACGCCGGTACATCCCAGGACGGACCTGCACATTTTGTGCAACATCAAAGAGTTGCGTGGCCCTACCGCAGTTAAAAAGCCGGTCTTCAGGTACAACCTGCACATACTTGGATTATCGAAGGCTTTCGTGGCCCTACCAAAGTTAAAAAGCTTAAGTTTATACGGAGAAGTTCGGCAAGATCAAACCTGAGAACTGTCTGCACGCTGTGCAACTTGTCACATAAAAACGCATATACTTGAAAGATGCTTCGTTCATCGCACAATATTCCCCAAGGTTCAAACCTCAACGCAAGCGGCAAGTATACGCACCAAGCGAGACGGGTCGTCGTTTAGAGGCAAATTAACAGTACATCGTAACAAAATGAAGGGATATCTAGCAGTGTACTAATAAAGTAGGGGGTTCAATAAGAGCCATTTAACCGTGACCAATCAATCGGAGTCGATAGCGAGATCACGACGGCTTATAAGCAGGCACACCGCTAGTTGACCTGAAAAACCTAACTGTCAGCGATATACTAGAGACGTCACAATTAGTTTTATTTTTTTTTATTTTTCTTTTTTTAAAAACACTGCCCTTACTTTAGGATAATATTATCCTGTGTTGTAATGACGTTTTACAAACATAAATTACACGCGGAAAAATACCCAGATGCGAAACAACCATCTGTGGGGTCACACAAATAGTTGTCCCGTGTGGGGATCGAACCCACGACCCCCGACGCCGAAGCCAATACCTTGGCGACTGCGCCACGGAGTCATTAGTACACGCGCCGCGGGGAATACTGACATGTTACGCTATGGCTGTGTGCATTTGATTTGGATGACTGCCTTTGTACGAATATAGCACCGTTACTCCAAATAGGAGCCGTGATGGCTTAGTGTTCGGGCGCTCGCTTTAATCCAATGCACTCGGGCAACCTGGGTTCAAATCCCGGTGCCAGTACGAATGAAATTGTTAATACCAATGAAATAAGTGCTGGATTATCACGTACTAATCGAACGGTTCATCTAATCGGTCCATAGTAAAATTATATAAATGAGTCCGTAACGCAGATGCAAAGTAATTGGCTTCAGTGTCGGGGGTTATGGGTTCGATTCCCACGTGAAAAACCCATTTGGGTCACCCACACATAATTATTTTCGGTTCTGGGCGGTTGTACGCGTGATATTTATGTACCTAAACTTAAAACACATGATAATGTTATCCTACAGTAAGGCCAATGTTTTTTAAAAAAAGAAAAAATATCATATTAGTGTCAATATATCAAATCGTTCAATAGTAACTGCTGAATTTACCGTTCCACGAACTAGCTCAATCAATTATCGGGTGATGTTTAATTGTTCGATAGAACAAGGCGGTCCGTTTATGGAACAGAGGGAAAATCGGTGCGAGAATCCGAAATTACGTTAGTGTGTTAGCATGATTATTATAAGGCAAAATGTTGTATCGTAAAAGAAAGAGGTCGGGAAGTACCCAAATTGTTAGGTATGTTATAAATCCAATTACAGTATGTAAGAATAGTGTAATTTTTAAAGACACACAAAGGTCAATAGATAGCAAACGAGATGTTAAGTGATAACCGGTACTTCCCGGGATGGACCTGCCCAATCGTGCAACAGCGAGGACTGTGGCGTGGTCCTACCACAGTAAAGAACATGATATAACATAACGGTTGGCACAACACGGCTCTTCTATAAAACGTTACGTTTCAATGGTAACTAACCATTGAAACGTAACTGAAGTCCCTACTCCGAGAGGTACACAATAAGTCAATGAGTGAATATTTTGAAATATCTGTATATAGCAAGTAGCACATAATTTAAGAAACTAAAAAGCCCACTGCGTTTCTGTGTAATTTTTTATTTTGATATACCCAGTGTCACTCTCACTTTCACGGCAAATACGAATCTAACGACACCTTTCAAGCTAAAATCCATGAAGCCGTTCAGGCTACAGAGCGTGCCAAACAATCATACATACATACATACTCTCTAAAAACATAACCCTCCATCTGGCGCAGTCGGGTAAAAATCGATGCGTTGAATGTATATTCCCTATGGCTTTACGGATTTTGTTTTGATGAGGAATTTCGAGCAATTTTTAGATTTTTTTTATATGAGAAGGTGAAAAACAAGTTGGCGGTTCACCCGATGTTGAATGATATCCGCGGCCCATAGACATTTGCAACACCCGTAGAGTTTCTAATGCGTTGCCATCTTTCAACAAAGTGGGGGCCCCGGCCGCCTCCCTCACCGGACGAAACGGAGGAGTGTAACACTTCTACTTCACCCCAGTCTTCAGTGAGGTGGTACTTGCCCGGGCAGACTTGCCAATTCGTATACCACTGTTAACTTTTTACAACCTCCGTATGTTAGATTAGTCTAGCGAGTGATGCGGTGAATTTTGGTAGCGATCGAATTAACATATTTATATTTTTGGGATAATTAACCCATGGAATATTTTATCACATAAATTATAATATCGTATGCCAACTTACTTTGTCAGTTTTTTTTTTTTTTTTTTTTTTTTTTTTTTTTTTTTTTTTTTTTTTTTTTTATGTGAAAAGTTGCCAAACGAACAGACGGTTCACCTGATGGTAAGTGAATACCGCCGCCCATGGACATCTGCTACACCCGAGGGTTACAGATGCGTTGACAACCTTTTGAAGATTGGGCTCCGGCTACCTCACTCACCAGACGAAACGCGAAAGTATTTGTTATACTTCCACTTTACGCCGGTCTTCTGTGAGGTCGTGGTACTTACCCGGACGG